ACCTCTGCCACGCCCGATTCGAGCGCCGGCTCGGTACAGCTGAGCGAGGTGCCGGCCGGCGTCAGCGGCATCATCGGCCGCGTCCGCAGCGACCCGCGCGTCGGATTCTTCTACATGGTGCCGTCGCTGCCAACCAGCGCCGTCGGCCGGCACTACTACTGCCTCAAGTACGACAGGGACGACGTGGGGCACACTCTTATCAAGGCGGTGGGCGTGAATGCTATCGCAAATATTGACAGCTTGGTTGTTGTGCTGATAGCGCACATGTTTTCGCATTTGGAAGGCAGCATTAGGCGGAATGGCTTGGTCTGTGTTCGTCGGGATGATCCATCACACGCAGTCCCAGTGGCGCTTCTGATGTGCTCCCGTGGCTGAGAAGGGAGCCAGGGGTCATATAAGTCACTCGTCTCGCCGCACCAGCTGAAGACCAGGTGAGTGTGATGTGAGAGGCGGGTGACTCCATTCAACTGTGATTGGCAGGGTGGTGCCGTACCTCGGCTATCGATCAGGACGAGTATTTCACCATCAGTCGACATGGTGTGACCAATGTCCAGAGCAAAGGTGCCGACTTCGTGCCCCTGGACGAATGGGAGCGCGACTACATCATGTTTCTCAAACTGAGAAAGGTGTGTACCCCGGTCGGAGGTGCGTCGTCCCCACCGGCATAAGCTGTTGGTGTGTTGCTCTTTTGCAATTGGCTGAGGAGAGGCCTCACATATGCCAAGGAAAGGAGTCCTGATGGTCTCACCGGATGTGGTGCGAAACCCGGACTATGCCATTCCCCCCCCCCCCCCCGCCCCCAAATGCCGGTTTTTTTATTTGTGAGCTTCGAATTTCACTTATATATGAACCATACGTTGCATATTGACAAGGGCATGTGTTGCATTTCGTGGGGGGGGGGGGGGGGATGGTGCACAACTCAAAGCTTCCACTGAGATTCCAGTTTAGCGCGCCACAGGCACTCAAAGTTTGTTCCATAGTGTAGAACGACATCCACTTATTTCTTGATGCGTCGCGTTCGAATTTTGTAGGGTCAGCAATAGCTCGTACACATATACATGTATGCATTGAATTAGATACGGGAGGGAGCACGTACCTTTAGGGATGTACGTGAATGCGGCCTGGGTGTTCATTCATTACTACTTTAGTTAGCTGTAAGAGTTGTGGGCGTCGCAGCAAGGGCCTGGATGAGACAACAACGGTTCGGCGTTCCATTTTCCGGCAGATTCGCACGTTCCGTCAGTTTCGCGTGTGGAAGCAGTTTCGCCAGTGGCAGATCAACGTGCGCTGGTGTAAGTTCAACACGGCGCAGCGCAGCCTGGCGAGCAACCTCTTCATCCTGCAGCCGTGCCTCAGCTCGGCCCTGCTCGCCGTCCGCCACCTCTGTAACGCCGTCGCCACCATGGGTGTGGTGCACGTGGACGACTCCATCACGTACACGCTGGAGAACGTGAGCACGACGCGCAGCGGTGCGCAGGCCGGCTCCAGTCCGTGTGAAGCGCGGCCGTGTGGTGTCGGTTTTCAAGCACCTCATGCTGGCTCCTCTGTAGCATCGGGCTGGGCTGTCGGCTTTTGCTACGTTACGTTATTTCAAGTGGTCAACTTATTTGAGTGTGGTATCTGGGTGGCCTGGCCCACATGGCACACCACATTATGCCATTGTCCGTTCACGTCATCATGCGCCATCAGTTTCGCTGTGAATTCGGTGCTCGCTTAACGCCCGCTGACAGCGTAAATGTGTCGCGCAGCATGGCCTACGTAGCTGACGTGATAGGTGGATTATTCTGTCTGCGACATGAAGTGGTGACTTGTCTGGTTTGTGTTACTTCTCGCAGAAAGAGCTTTGCCCTATCCCGGCGTAAACCGAAGTCGTTAGCGTTACCTCCAAAAGCTGAACTGAGCGCGCACTGTGTGCTGCAGTTTCACGCAGCGGACGCCGAGCAGAGAGCGGAGGTGGAGGCCTCCCTCTCCGACTTCCGCCAGCTGGTCAGAGACATCGTGCGCACGGCCTGCAACACCGCCCTGCTGGAGGCCGGCTTCCCGACCGACGACTACATTGAGGAGCTGGCCGTGGCCGTCCACTGCGGTACGCACTGGCGGAGCCGATGGCTGGGCCGGCTGTGGGTGGAACGGCATTCTGGGCTGTGATCCGTCTGAGCCCGCAGTGTGTGCTGCCTGAGACGGCGACATAAACCCGGGGTAATAAGGCCCTCGCACTAGACGCTGACTTGTTTGTAACTTGGCAGTCGGATGAGCATAAACTGAAGGATCGACGACTGCTATCCAAGGTATCCAAGGTACGTTGTCCAAGATAGTGCAAAACATACCTACTGCCGTTGCTTGAAGTGGGTTCATTCGAAGCAAGCGACGGGCGCCGTGTGAGCAACTGAGTGCGAGTTAGCGGACACTTTAATAAGCGCGGAGTGAGTGAGTTAGTCCGTGCCTAGTGAGAGGTTAAGTGGGTGCGCATGTGCGCACGCGCGCGCTCATGTGAGCGGACGGGCGAACCAGTGACGTCACATACACAGACACGGCGGTCGCGAGGCAGCTGCAGTGAACGATGATTGTTGCAGATGTGTTTTTGTCCGTGTTGCAGGTCAGACCGTGTGGAAGACGAAGCTGCACATGGATCCGGAGCAGTGTCTGGCCATGTTCAAGGTCGGGGAGTACTCCCAGCAGATGTCCTTTACAGAGCAAGCCGACAAGCGTCGTCAGTGTCAGAGGCTGACAAGGTAAGACGCATTTAGATGTGGAGAGCACCTAACCTAGCAACCCAACCTAACAACGGGTCTACAGCACATTGGCCTCGCAAGGCTCATTTGTCTGTTGGCGTTCTCATTGTTACTATGGATAGTGGGTGAGATGTCGCGTTTTGAAAAGGACTGTGTGGTCTGTTGATATTTACATAAAGGCTTATTTCATTTCACGACCTGTTGGACCAGCCTGCATTGACCAAATACTTTCAGTTGTATTCAGGACCCGCTGGGTATGAATTATGGGGGAGGGGGCACATTCCCAATGCGTTTTCGCTCCGCCACGCGCGTGCTAACGCACGTCAAGTGTCAGGTGACACGCGCGTCTGATTGCGCTGATCCCTGAGCACGTAACACGTGTGTCTGACTGCGGTGGTCCCTGAGCACGTGACACCCGCGGCTGACTGCGGTGGTCTCTGAGCACGTGACACGCGCGGCTGACTGCGGTGGTCTCTGAGCACGTGACACGCGCGGCTGACTGCGGTGGTCTCTGAGCACGTGACACGCGCGTCCGGCTGCGCTGGTCCCTGAGCACGTGACACCCGCAGCTGACTACGGTGGTTCCTGAGTACGTGACACGCGCAGAATGGCTGAGGTTAGGCCAACGTGACAGCGTTGAGAGCGTGAAAATCCAGTGTTCTCAAAGCCAGCAAAGCGCTGGTCTTCCGGCATCCCGGGAACGGCCCATTGTGTGCTACATGTATGGTTTATCACGTGCACCACTGAGCCGGCCCGCTCGTAGAACTGTGTGGTGTGCCACGTGCAGTGGGGCGAGCACGCGCACACAGCACGCGTCTGGATAGTTAACAATCGTTGGAATGTTTCGCGTCATGTCTGTCGGCCAAATCAATGAACATATTGACGGATCACCCCGTGTGGTGGTATTATTTTGTGCTTATTGTGCCGATGATCTAACGATAGCCGACGTATGTTTGTGGTTGTATTGAACTGCGGTGTCGCCATTGACTCATTATGGATGTCTATTACCGCAAGACACTTCAACAATATACATTGGTACGTGATTGGAAGACGGTGATATTAGGCATGGAACGTCATGCTATGCTGTAGCCTGTAAGAACTAGCTTCCAGGAGTCTTTTTTCTCCTTGATGAAGCGAGACTTAAGCACGCTTGCTTACCGCGATTGTGTTTCGTGCACCGCAAAATGTAAAAGAGTATTTCGGCCGTTTACCGAACATGACCATTATCATAACAGCTTGCAACCATTCGACCGTGTTTATGAACCGCGTCTATCCACAGGCCGGTCAAGCTGGGCTTGTTCGGATGTTTTCCTTCTTGTTTTATTTCTTTCTTTCATGTTCGGGGATTTCTCACAATCGCGGAAGCGTACTATATCAAACAATGACTCCATGGAATGGTGTGATTATGCAGTGTTATAATAGAACTACTAGATCATTAAACAACGCACAGAAATAACTTATCAACGTTCATCACCAAAAATGTATACCAAAGACCGCATTACATGCTTGCCATGCAAATTCACTCAGCAGAAATACTTGCCATTTTGTTGAAGAATAGTTGGACGCGAGAGACCATTGTGTGTGGGACAGAGGCTGCGTATGAATCCTCAAAAGAGGAATGTGGTCTTTCCTTTTCATTCATATAGTGGTAAACATAACTAAATCACCTATGTGAATTCTCATAGCCTAAGCGAGGCGGCGGAACAAAGTTCATGCATCCTACAACGACTCTGTTCAGCTGTTGTCCGTATCTACCGACTCTGTTCAACTATTGCCCGTATCTAGCTGAGAAAGAGAACTACTGAGAAACAGTGCATTTTGAACAGTAGAACTTGTAAGAGAACAGCCACTGCGTCACATCCACGCAATGCATGCTTTTACTGGTACATACATAACACACGCGTATCAGACTGTGCACACAAGCTTTGCTGTCTCACCAGCTGCCGGTATTTTTCCGCCAGGTTTATCTACACGATCGACCTGGTGCTGATGACCTGCAAACATCAGCTAATGAAGAACACGACCCGCTACGTGGAGCGGGTGCTGGAGGGCCGGGTGGAGCGGATACCGCCCGAGGACGAGCTTATCATAGAGCTCGACGTCCAGCCGGCGGGCAAGACGCCCTCGCAGCTCAAAGAGCAGCAGTCTGGGCCCAACGTCGATGGCGGGGTTAGTTAGCTCTCTTTAGCGGTAGTAAGCTGCTGTTTTGATTTTAGGGTTCTATGCAATGTCATGGGACGCGCTCAACGCGTCACACAGTACACTAGCATGCTAGAGCTAGTGCAGGTTGAAGACTGGGAAGAAAAAGGCATATTTCCTACAAACTTTTGTCGGTTTGATGTTGCATACAGGCATCAAAAGAAGAAAAGTACTTTGCTTACTTTGCTGCCAGGTGGAGACCGATCCCTGCACTTACTTGTGCTGATCTTAACATCGATTAACCCACGGGCCACTGATGCTCTGTTTAAAGCGCACATCTCGCCAAGCCTCATCTTTCCATGCGCTGCCGAGTGCGGCCCGTCCCGCACCTCTGACGGCGTCGGCATGCGGCAGGCTCCGCCGCCCGAGGCGTCGCCGGAGCCGCCGCCGGAGCCCGCCGACCCGGAGGAGGAGCCCGAGGCACCGGTGGAGCCGCTATTCGTGACCGAGTTGGAGTTCCGTGGCGCCACGCCCCGGCTCGTGCCCGACATCAAGGAGTTCGCCGCCACCGTCGACAAGCTGCTGCTGGACAGCCGGGAGATGGTGGAGAGCATGGAGAACCTCTTCACCGACGACACGTTCCTGTTCATCACCAGGTGATACCTAAGGCTGGTGTAACTCCGTGAGGAGGGTGAGCATGTCCCACAAAGGTTTTGGGCTGGTGGGCATTGCGCGCACGGTGGACCACCTGTGCCCTGACCAGTGTCATTTTGCACGGAGTGAAGAAGAGGACGAGTGACCGGTATAACATTGGTTTCCTAAAGCGGCTGTGATGCCCCAGTAAGCATGCATTGGAGAAGGTGCGTTTGATTTCCACATGGTTTGCAGCTCAGCTCTGCTAGTTGTCAGACCAACCGATGCTGATTTACGGCGCCTGCTTCATGCGGACGGGGCACGGGGTTTCATGTGGCAGGCCGACGATCAACGGTAAGACCCTGGGCGACGAGGAGCAGGAGGGCCCGGACCTGGAGGACGTTCTGGACTCGGACCAGCCGCTGGCCGAGGCCAGCGAGCGCATCGCCGAGATGGTGCGCGTCGGATTCAACGTAAGAGCGGCGACGGCCTGCGAACGCTGCACCGTCACGGGGCCGACTGCCGACTCCTTCGGACGTGTTCGTACACCGAGCAGAGGGCTTAATGCTATGCGTCCTTTTTGCTAAGCTGACGTCCGGGCATTGTGATGGTGCGTTATTTCTTTGGCCGCAGTTGTTAACAAACGTCCCGGAGCGGTTTTATCCACTTGTAATGAAGAAGCGATGCTGTTGACGTCGGTGGCTCCGGCGCGTTAAAAACGCTATTGTGCGCGCGCGCGCAATAGCGTTTTTAACCAGGGCCGTCTGATCTATTTAACGTCAATAGCTCAGCTGTGAACTCTGAGACTCATAATGCTGTTCACTACTCGTGGATCATTCGGGCACATTGTCCCGCGCAACACGAATGCTCGCAATCGAGATCTCAAAAAGGTGTTATTTAGTTGTGGTTCATACTCGCTTTTCTGCGCGGAGAGCCGGCACCTTTGGGGTTGGAAAACACCACTTTAAGGTACATGACATTAGCTCTCATCTCATTTTATATACACAGCGTGTCTTAAGGTTGTACGCATAGACCTCTACAGAGCGAACCAGAACTCCCTGAGCTCACTGTGAGCCCACCACCGCCGGCGAATGAGCTTGCTGGTGTTGTTGCCTGTTGGTGCACGACAGGATATATCCAGCTGCCGACCCGTCACCAGCCTCGGCCATTCGCATGTCCCGCGGTGCTGTTACAGGCTCCCGGAGCCGGGTCGTGCTGGGCGGACGACAGCTGTGTTCCTATCTTATCCGGGTCGTATTGGGCGGATCTCTGACGGGAGCTATGTTACCATCTTATCCGGGCCATGCTGGGCGGAGCTCTGACGGGAGCTGTGTTACCATCTTATCCGAGGCCATGCTGGGCGGAGCTCTGACGGGAGCTGTGTTACCATCCTATCCGGGCCATGCTGGGCGGTGCTCCGACGGGAGCTGTGTTACTATCCTATCCGGGTCATGCTGGGCGGAGCTCTGGCGGGAGTTGTGTTGCTCTCTTATCCGGGCCATGCTGGACGGAGCTCCGACGGGAGCTGTGTTACTCTCCTATCCGGGTCGTGCTGGGCGGAGCTCTGACGGAAGCTGTGTTACTATCTTATCCGGGCCACGCTGGGCAGAGCTCCGACGTGAGCTGTGTTACTATCCAGTCCGGGCCATGCTGGGCTGAGCTCTGACGGGAGCTGTGTTACCATCTTATCCGGGTCGTGCTGGGTGGAGCCCTGACGGGATCTGTGTTACCATTTTATCTGGGTCGTGTTGGGCGGAGCTCCGACGGAAGCTGTGTTACTGCCTTATCCGAGTCGTGCTGGGCGGGAGCTGTGTTACTATCGTCCGGGTCGTGCTGGGTGGAGCTCTGACGAAAGCTGTGTTACTATCCTATCCGGGTCATGCTGGGCAGGACCGCTGACGGGAGCTGTGTTACGTCATGCTGGGCGGAGCTCTGACGGGAGCTCTGCTTCTCTGCTGGCAGGCTGCGCAAACGTACATACAGACTTTCGAGGAAGTGAAGACTTGGTTCTACGAGAACATGAGGACCGACATGTCTACGTTTACTGACATCGGATGCGGTAATTGATATATTTTGTCCATCTGGCGGTGAGCGAAGTTTTTAGTCTCGTTCGAGCTAGAGTTGCGTTCCAAACATGGCGATGGTGGAGCTGGGTGGAAACAAAAGGTGAATAACTGTGGGATTGGGACAGGGACCAAGGGCCTAGGCCTAGGGGCCTATTACATCGTCTCCCTCTCCAAAAACTAAATCATTGTTGCCCTAAGGGGCGATAAACGCATCGCGCAGCTGTCAGCACAACTCAGTCACACAAGAAGCAAAAGACACCATATAAGGTACCTTACAGTTCCAGGCTGTAGTTTCGAGTACAGCCACCTCTGTACGTTACGCTGTGATCCGCGGTAACTGCGAACCGTTCTGCTGGCTTCTCGCTAGTGGACGGCAGTGTTGTCCTCCCAATGAACTACATGTGGCACACATAGCTGACAAATCCTTTATCGGTCACGGCGTTATGGCTTTCTTGCGAGGCGGATTGGACATCTTAATCTGCCACAGGACTGAACCCGTGTCCCCAGACTTGGAGAAGTTCGGCTCGGCGCTGGCTAAGTTCACCACCCAGATCAACGAGGTGAAGAACATCCCGAAGGAGCGCAAGCTGGGCGTGTTCTGCGTGAACGCTGAGACCGTCCGCGAGATGGTGCGACCGTCGCCCGAGACTTGTCTCGACGAAATATTCAAGATCATGCCGGCGTGAGTCATTGGCATTCTGTCAGTGCCAAGAGGAAAATAACTGGATGGCACACTGGTCGTCCGCGACTTCATGGTATCAGTAATAGCAGCATTGCTATGTGTTTCACGTATGTACACACTCACATTGCAATTCCTCGTCACATTGCCTCTCGTTTGATTCCCAAACATTGTGGTTTACAGCGACTCATCGCCCCTGTTATATTCTTCTGTACCGCAATGATGCTGTGTGTGTGTGTGTGTGTGTGTGCGTGCGTGCGTGCGTGCGTGCGTGCGTGTGTGCGTGCGCGTGTGTGTATGCATGCGTGTATGCACGTATGTATGCATATGTGCATGTACAAATGTGTACACACACACACACACACACACACACACACACACACACACACACACACACACACACACACACATATATATATATATATATATATATATATATATATATATATATATATATATATATATATGTATATATATATATATATACATACATACATACATACAGATATGCATACATATATGCACATTCATTTTGGTGCCGGCAATTCGCCATGTAGCAACATGTGGCCCACGTTCGTAATCATTCTGCCTGCTGGTGGCTCACCCAAGGTTTTACATTTAGGGTCCAGATGGACAGCAATACTATAATTGATATGGTCCCTCCAGCAATCACACTTTGAGCCTACGTTTTTGTTATGATGTTTTCAGGGTGACAAAGGCTCGGGTCGAAGCTCTCATAACCGAGTCTCAAGATGCACACTACAAATTAGAAATAACGCCAACAACAACCGAAGAATATGTGACGTTCCTGACCTTCTTGGATGACATCTCTATTAGGGTTTGTGTCACCTTCACCGTCCTCATGCGCTCTCGGCGAAGTAACGGGATGTGTGCAAAAGATGTATCATACTGAACGCAGAGGGGCTTCTCCGACACTGTGTAGTTTTTAGTTCATAAGCTGTGTCCGTCAGCGGTTTATTTTCGTTAACAGCCTTCCGTAATTCGCATCAATCATCTGAGCATAACCAGGATGGCTGATGTGATGGGCGATCGAGTAACCATCCGGTTCTGGTTGCCGGCAAGTACCTCATCTCGCCGATTTAATTATGTTACGTTACCGCGTCGATTTCGCTTATCGTTGGTTATGGCGCATTCTATCTGGCAATGCAATGAACGAAGGCTCTAGCGTCGGCGGGCGCTGCCTGATGAACGGACTCCCTAGCATCGACGGGCGCCGCCTGACGAACGGATCCCTCCAGCATCTGGGGGATCGTCTGACGAACGGACCCTCTAGCGCCGGCGGGCGCCATTTGACAAACAGGCCCTCCAGCGTCGGCGGGCCCGTCTGACGAACAGATCCTCTAGCGTCGGCGGGCGCCATTTGACAAACGGATCCTCTAGCGTCGACGGGCGCCGCCTGACGAACGGATCCTCTAGCGTCGGCGGGTGCCATTTGACAAACGGACCCTCTAGCGTCGACGGGCGCCGCCTGACGAACGGACCCTCTAGCATCGGCGGGCGCCATTTGACGAACGGACCCTCTAGCATCGGCGGGCGCCGTCTGACGAACGGACCCTCTAGCATCGGCGGGCGCCGTCTGACGAACGGACCTTTTAGCGTCGGCGGGCGCCATTTGACAAACCGACCCTCTAGCGTCGGCGGGCGCCGTCTGACGAATGGTTGACGTCACGTGCCCGGCAGATTGAGAGCCTGGAGCAGGAGGCCGACGTGGTCTGCCAGATGGTGGAGCTCATGGAGGACTACCAGACGCCGGTGCCGCCCGAGTACATCGCCGAGTTCAATGTGAGGTCATGGCAAGAGTGTCACCAGCTCGCGTGCTGTTGACAGGGCCGGCTGAGCGGTTCTCAAACGCGACAATAGTCGTAGTTTCCTACTAGTGATGGGCAGCAGTGGTGGTATTTTTTGCAATTCTGTGAGTGTATTGTGTCGAAGATTGACCTGGACGATAGCGTCTTTAAGGTCCCATGTAGTAGGGCACGCAAAATACTTGTTATATGTATGCAATTTGATTGCGCTTTTTAGCATAGATAGATTCAAAACACTTATTTACGCTGCGTTTTAGCCAGCGTGCACGATAGATGTGACGGTAACGGTCGAGTTGCACATGTTGCCGTGTGACCTCCGTACGTTTGTGGTAAGTCACCGGAGCCGGCGACTGCTGCCCCAGACACTGAGTCCGACCGTAGCCGTGCTGCACGACCTCACCGACAACTGCGTCACTGATCGCGACAACCTGGTGGAGAAGCTCTCCGCGTCACTCGCCAAGGACATCAGGAAGCTCACCAAGGATGTGGAGGTGGTCAATCAGCAAATTGACGTGAGCAAACTTTTCTGGTTTTTATGTCTGGTTGAAGGACGTGTTTGAACTTTCTTAGAACAGCAACATGAGTTGTTAAAATTTTGGTGAGCCTCTAAACCAGCTGCGATACACCGTAATGTTCTCACTGACATACAGTCCTTGATGATGAACAATCTCAAAGACTTCGTGGGTGTTAGTAGAGATGAGTGCTCAATATGCCCTATGCGAATGTTTGAATGACTATGTGCCTGCAGGATCCAACCATTCTTGAGATGGAATCTGATCACGCCATCGTCAGACAGAAGCTAGAGAACTGCACAGCCATGTTGCAAAAGGAAGAGCAGATGGCTACAACGTACAAGGAACACCAAAAGAAATTCAGGGTGAGAGGCGAGTCGCGACAGCTGGGCATAACCACTCATGATTAGCTGTGTGCGGTTATGCCCAGCCGTCACAGCTGTGTCGACGGCTGGGCATAACCACTCTTAGCTGGCTGTGTCGCACGTCATCATCTGAGCGCCCAGTATGTGTGGCTGTGCAGCGTTCAGTAACGGGCATGAGCCTGCTGAGACATCAGCGGTTGACTAGGTCATCCCAGTTCTCCGTTGGGCTGATCATCCGCCGCGGCGCGCCGCCAGTGGGATTGGTTTGTTGCCCGGTTGCTCACCGCCAGCCGTCAGACGATACGACGGGTCACGGCTGTGGCTCCACGCTCTGCTGCTGTCTCGGTGTCAGGGGGTCGTCACTACTGCGGGGTATCCACCTCTGTCGGCTGCTATAGCTCTGGGCTCACTGGCCATACCTTGTCGATGTTCTCGGACGATAGAGTCCATGACACGTTTGTCTTCGACACATTTTTCCTTTTTAGCTCGAGGTAACAAAGATGGAGCAGCTGGAAAAGGCCCAAGACGAGTTACGACTGAGGACTCTTCTCTGGGACTCATTGGACGAGTGGGATAAGTTCCTGGCCGAGACGTTGGTGGTAAGCCTCTCCAAGCTGTGGTTTGTATGACAATTTTGAGTTTATGTGAACTCTTCCACCCTTTCCTTTTTGCGCCGCTGTTTGAGAGGTGTAGCCCTAAAGCTTTCATTACAGATGCGTTGACAATTAATTGTGTTTGCTCGGATTTCGCTGACTTGCACAGTTCAGCGGGTGTTTTCTCCATATTAATTATTGTTGTGACCCGCAGGCACCATTCAACGAGCTGGACGTAGAGGAGCTAACCCAGCTGGTGGCCAAATTCAACAAGACGGTCGTGCAGCTAGAGAAAGGGCTTCCACCTAATAACGTGACCGCCGTTCTGAAGGAGAAGGTTGACGACTTCAGAATAAAGGTGCGTGTTGTTAACATATCAGCCTTCCGGCACAGGTACGTGGGTGCGATTAATGTAATATTCAGCCAATTCCGCCACCACTTGTTGCATCCTCACCTATCCATGCCTGCTGCTTGCCATCCAGCATGTGCTGTTTTGGTAAAAGTTTTTTGAAAAAGCAGCAATCGCAAAGCATGCTACTTTACCTTTGTAAACGCATTACAAAATCTTTATTGATATTATCTTATTAGTTGGTGGTAAACATCAATTAATAATATATGCATTAATTGGCATGCATCATTAATTGGAGGTTAACATCATAATGCTGAAAATTGGTGTAAAATGTAACGGAACCGACGTTTGGTTGCTGAAAATATGCGAGGGACCGATCACTTCCATTCTGAAAGCCTTTAGTTTTCTCTGAATGAAATTATTGTGAAAAGGTTGATTTTGAACCTCCCTACGTAGTTTGCCAGCAGAATGCCAGATGGCAGTGCGCGGTTGTCTTTATCGGCCGAATATGTGCATGCTTTTGAGGGACACTGCTGTTATTTGTCTAATCGCATGCGTAGCTAACTAATCTCGACTTCAAGTATTTCTGTGCGGAGTTTGGAAGCAGGTGGAGTGCTCCAGTAGCAAATATTTCCTCCGGGTATAATTGGCCGGCCCGAACCACTAATTCGATTATTGTTTATCTTCACCGGAATTGGTGTCCTGGGTGCAGATTTCTCACAGCGAAACAGCGTCTTTTACCACCGCAAATAAACGTTGTTTTTACCCGGAGGAATATGCAGTCCGGAAACGGTAGATCAAATTAGTATAGAAGCGCATGGATACGGTGGAGCACCACAACCAGCGCGCTTGCTGCCCTGTTGCCGCTGTGCCGTGTGTGGTCGGTGAGCGGCGCGCGCGCATGTCTGTGTGTCCGTGCCCGGCAGCTGGGCACGATCGCCGACCTGCGCAACACGACCCTGAAGCGGCGTCACTGGGAGGCGATCGAGCGTCAGCTGGGCCACCAGGTGGTCGATCTGGACGACCAGACGCCACTCACACTACAGCTGCTCATCGACTACCAGGCCTTCAGCTGTGCCGAGGAGCTGAAGGAGATCTCGGGCCAGGCCAGCTCCGAGGCCAGTCTGGAGGCGCTGCTCAACAAGGTAGGATTACTACCAGATCAGGGACTGGTCTGGCGGCGCTGCTCAACAAGGTGGGATTACTACCAGATCAGGGACTGGTCTGGCGGCGCTGCTCAACAAGGTGGGATTACTACCAGCTCAGGGACTGGTCTGGAGGCGCTGCTCAACAAGGTAGAATTACTACCAGATCAGGGACTGGTCTGGTGGCGCTGCTCAACAAGGTAGGATTACTACCAGATCAGGGACTGGTCTGGCGGCGCTGCTCGACAAGGTAGGATTACTACCAGATCAGGGACTGGTCTGGAGGCGCTGCTCAACAAGGTGGGATTACTACCAGCCCAGGGACTGGTCTGGAGGCGCTGCTCAACAAGGTGGGATTACTACCAGCTCAGAGGCCGGTCTGGAGGCGCTGCTCGACAAGATGACATTACTACTAGCTCTGGGGCCTGTCTGGAGGCGCTGCTCAACAAAGTAATATTACTACCAGCTCAGGAGCCAGTCTGGAGGCGCTGCTCAACAAGGTGGGATTACTACCAGCTCAGGGGCCAGTCTGGAAGCGCTGCTCAACAAGGTGGGATTACTACCAGCTCAGGGGCCAGTCTGGAAGCGCTGCTTAACAAGGTGGGATTACTACCACATCAGGGGCCGGTCTGGAGATGCTGCTCAACAAGGTGATATTACTACCAGCTCAGGGACTGGTCTGGAGGCGCTGCTTAACAAGGTGATATTACTACCAGATCAGGAGCCAGTCTGGAGGCGCTGCTCAACAAGGTGGGATTACTACCAGCTCAGGGGCCAGTCTGGAAGCGCCGCTCAACAAGGTGGGATTACTACCAGATCAGGAGCCAGTCTGGAGGCGCTGCTCAACAAGGTGGGATTACTACCAGCTCAGGGGCCAGTCTGGAAGCGCTGCTCAACAAGGTGGGATTACTACCACATCAGGGGCCGGTCTGGAGGCGCTGCTCAACAAGGTGATATTACTACCAGCTCAGGGGCCAGTCTGGAGGCGCTGCTTAACAAGGTAGAATTACTACCAGCTCAGGAGTCAGTCTGGAGGCGCTGCCCAACAAGGTGATATTACTACCAGCTCAGGAGCCAGTCTGGAGGCGCTGCTCAACAAGGTGATATTACTACCAGCTCAGGGACTGGTCTGGAGGCGCTGCTCAACAAGGTGATATTACTACCAGCTCAGGGGCCAGTCTGGAGGCGCTGCTCAACAAGGTGATATTACTACCAGCTCAGGAGCCAGTCTGGAGGCGCTGCTCAACAAGGTGATATTACTACCAACTCAGGGACTGGTCTGGAGGCGCTGCTTAACAAGGTGATATTACTACCAGCTCAGGGACTGGTCTGGCGGCGCTGCTCAACAAGGTGGGATTACTACCAGATCAGGGACTGGTCTGGCGGCGCTGCTCGACAAGGTGATATTACTACCAGCTCAGGGACTGGTCTGGAGGCGCTGCTTAACAAGGTGGGATTACTACCAACTCAGGGACTGGTCTGGCGGCGCTGCTCAACAAGGTGATATTACTACCAGCTCAGGGACTGGTCTGGAGGCGCTGCTTAACAAGGTGGGATTACTGCCAACTCAGGGACTGGTCTGGCGGCGCTGCTCAACAAGGTGGGATTACTACCAACTCAGGGACTGGTCTGGCGGCGCTGCTCAACAAGGTGATATTACTACCAGCTCAGGGACTGGTCTGGAGGCGCTGCTTAACAAGGTGATATTACTACCAGATCAGGAGGCGGTCTGAAGACGCTTCGCAGGCTGGGATGATAACCAGGCCCGCTCTAAGGACAGTATGGAACAGTACGGATCAGTAACAATCAGTTGTTGGTCACGGCGAGCTGATTACGGAACCAGCTCTAAGAACGGTGGGGCGTGCTGGTCACGGTGAGCTGACAACCAAGCCAGCCCACCGTGACCAACAGTATGGGGTGTGTTGGTCACGGTGAGGCGATAACCAGACCCGACCCGGACCACGTCTGAAGGCCCTCCTCGTCAAGATGGGTAGCTTATTCATCAGGTCAAGTTCCGATACCAGCTTGCAGTTGGAGGTCAGGTAAGTCGTCAAGGTAAGCTCTGAACGTCGAGGCTGCCAGACAAGTTGCGGGTTTCTAGGCTGGAGGCGAAATAAGCTGAGGTATGCCGACGCCAACCAGGCAAGCAGTGGGTGCCGCGCGCTGCGTGCCAGCGGTGTGCCGCTTCCAGCAGCCGTGCTAGGACTGCTTTGTAGCAGCGTGTGACGTGACTGACGCCGTGCGAACTCCTGCTGCAGGTGGAGAACGTGTGGAAGTCCACAGAGTTCAGCGTTGTACCGCTGGCTGGTCAGAAGGATGTATACATTCTGGGCGGTACAGATGACATACAGCAACTGCTGGACGAGTCAAATATCAACATTCAGGTGATCATGTATCTACTAATACATTAGATGGAGGTAACGCGTCGCAAACATGGATATGAACCAGGCGTACCCCACCCTACAACCATGGTCTTATGGTTCTTTGGCTGTGATGGCGGGGTAATGTTTTGATGGGGATCTCGGGTTCATTGTTCGGAGTCGATTTGAATCGAGTATTATACCAGTATTAACTACCTGACACGAAAACCCTTGAATTTTTCGCAGAGGATGCCCGTAAAGTTTCAGTATATGTTACCTTACGCTTTACACTTGCAAAAGCTGTTGTTTTCACGCGAGTTCGCGGTGTTAAGCGTGGAAATGTTGCCGGTGCGCTTTGGAACGTGACACCGTATCACCTTGAAATTTTCATGAAAATACCACTTCCAAAGCATTGGCTTGCGTGTCAACCCAACAGCGCTTTAGGATGCTGCAATATGACTGCGCGTCTGGTGACATCGGCCGAGTGAGCAGCTGTTGATGGCCACTGACACTGTCGGCAGACGATCTCGTCGTCCCGACACGTCGGCCCGATCCGCTCCCGGGTGGAGGACTGGGAGAAGCGGCTCGATC